TCTATCCTCTCCACACCAAATTCAGTATTTTGTGACCCTACACTTCATGGTTGGGTGCTATAATACTTCTTTTACAAGATAGTTTGATTTTACATTCTTAATTTGATGCAGTAGTCCAAAAAGTGAATTCAGATCAACAGTAGTAATACTTAGGTTTTCCTCTTGAAGTTCAATTCACATCCCTCAGTTCTGTAGCTAACACATACGTGTCTGTTTTATGCGGCAGAAATATAGGTTGACTGCTTATCGGGTCAGTGCTGCTTCTTAATAAACAGCACTTATCTCTTTGAAACAACACCCTGCCCTAAATAAGTTTGTCTGGGGAGTTGAGCCAGAAATAGCTTCTTGGTTTTTATTGGATGGTAAAAAAGAAATCATTGGAAAAGAAGATACTTAACATGAAACTAGACGGTGGTGGTTGTCATGCATTCGGAGCAGCTTGGATCTTGGGGTTTTCTCTCCCTCACATGTACAGCTTGAAAGACTGTGTGATCACATCTTTCCCCAGGAGTCTGCTGTTCCCAGCATTTCTTGTTACTCTCAAAAGTGAATATATGCCCTCATTTGTATTTAGTTTGTCACTAAACTCCAGTGGAGGAATGTAATCATGCTGTTGAGCAACATGTGTTTGTGTTGATCCCTGAATGCAGATAGATACAGATATTGCAGATAGATGCAGATATTTACAGATAGAGGAGCTTCGTTGCACCCCTGTGAGAAGTACTAATCAATCCCATTTTAATATATAGAGAGGAGGACTTGTTGCTTAATTACAAAACTACTTAATTTTACAGCATAAAAAGGTGTGTGGGGGGTCCCCTCTTCAATGATGCTCTTCTTTATACTTCCAAATCTTGTAAGCTTCTCTGCATTTCTGAAAACTAGTCATGATGTACCAAATTTGGCACAGAAAAAGGAAGTGGAATTGGGATGTGGCAGTAGATACGGGAGCATTAGAAGGCATAGAAGTAGGCAGCAAGGAGAAGGGAAATGCTTACTGTTGATGATAGTTGACCAGGTAATGGTGGTAATGCAGCTAGGATGCAGTGTGTGCAGAAAATGAAATGTTAATATACAGATACCTGGAGCTTGGGCAGAAAACTGAAATAGGGGGATCATGGAATCATCAAACCTGTGGATTACCAAAAAACACAGAATAATGTTAATGACTAGGAAGTGGCTGTTATGGAAAGAAGAAAGTAAAGATGGAAGTGTAAGTGTAGTGACGAACTGCAAAGGTGAAGCAGGAGAACGGCCAAAATCATTGGTGGGGAGCCCCTTTTGATGGTAAATCATGGTAAAAAATGATGGTAAACCAGAATCTGGCAGAGTAGAAGTGAGTGCTTGTACATCCCCTAGATCAGATTTGGAGGTGGGTAACAGAAACCTTTGTGATATTGCAAGTATCAGTATTTGTGGGAGTATTTTTATATTGCTCTCCAGCTGATAAAGCTGTAAATAACTCGGTTACATGTCAGATCCACAGCAGAAGGTTCTTTCCACTTAATGACACAGAAACTGTGAATTTGTCATGCCAAGCAGAGGGATGTGGTGACTGTGGGGGCCACCTGAGGGAGTCAGTCACCTTCAGAATAATATGTGAAGTAAGCAGAGGTCCTCTAAGTGTTGGGAAATGATGAGAAATCCGTATCTTGGAAGTCAGGATGTGCAGGAATTCAGAAAAATGAAAACTCCTAAAGGTTGAGCTGAGTTATGAAGATACGAAGACAGGCTGAGACAGTTGGGGCTGTTCAGCCTGGAGAAGAGAAGGCTGCGTGGAGACCTCAGAGCAGCTTCCAGTATCTGAAGGGGGCCTGGAAGGATGCTGGGGAGGGACTCTTCGTCAGGGACTGTAGTGACAGGACAAGGGGTAACGGGTTCAAACTGAAACAGGGGAAGTTTAGATTGGATATAAAGAAGTTCTTTACAGTGAGGGTGGTGAGGCACTGGAATGGGTTGCCCAGGGAGGTTGTGAATGCTCCATCCCTGGCAGTGTTCAAGGCCAGGTTGGACAGAGCCTTGGGTGACATGGTTTAGTGTGAGGTGTCCCTGCCCATGGCAGGGGGGTTGGAACTGGATGATCTCAAGGTCCTTTCCAGCCCTATTCTATGATTAGAGTCAGCAAGGTATTTCAGCCTGCCTTTCGGGATGTGAATGGCAAAGGTCAGATGCAGATGGGCTGCTTGCGGTGAGCACTTGAGTTTTCGGTAGGAGCTTTTGTTTGAAAACTAAGATGTTTTGCCTCATTTTCCAGTACAGGTGTTGACACTGCAAAGGCAAGGTGGATGACTTGTAAGAATGATACTAAAATGAGAATTTTGGTGTTTGCATTGAAAGCAAAACTGAACGAGTTGATGGACTTAAATTGGGGAGGCAGAAAAAGCCTTTATCACAGAAACGTGATGTTTTGGGTCATAGAAATTACAAGTATTTAGGAACAAGCATCTTATACATATCAATTGAGATAGTGTTGGAGGATCACAGACTTTAATGGTAATGCTAAAGAAAGGGAGGGGAAAAATCCCCAAATTGAACCTTTGTAATGTGACATCAGAAGGGTGTATGGCTCAGAATGCATTTGGAAGTTCTGAAACAAGCTTCCCGAAGTAAAATAAATGAGAAAACCTAAGAATCTTTTAAATAGAATAACTAACCCCCCCCCCCCCCCCCCCCTTCATATTCCCAGTGTCAAACCAAACTGTCTGGATTCTGATGAAATACCTGTATGTGAGGAAATTGGTGCTGAAAGTCAGATTAGTAGAATGGTAAAAATAAATGAGGAGGTTGAGGCCCCCAACGCAAGAGGGATGTGGAGCTGTTGGAACAAGTCCAGAGGAGTCCACGGAGATGCTGCGAGGGCTGGAGCAGCTCTGCTCTGGAGCCAGGCTGAGAGAGCTGGGCTGATTCAGCCTGGAGAAGAGAAGGCTCCTGAAGGGGAGACCTGAGAGCAGCTCCAGTGCCTGAAGGGGCTGCAGGAAACCTGGAGAGGGGCTTTCGACAAGGGCCTGGAGGGACAGGCCAAGGGGAATGGCTTTAACCTGCCAGAGGGGAGACTGAGATGAGCTCTTAGGCAGAAGCTCTTCCCTGTGAGGGTGCTGAGGCGCTGGCACAGGGTGCCCAGAGAAGCTGTGGCTGCCCCATCCCTGGCAGTGTTCGAGGCCAGGTTGGACACAGGGGCTTGGAGCAAGCTGCTCTAGAGGAAGGTGTCCCTGCCCGTGGCAGGGGGTGGAACTGGATGAGCTTTTGAGGTCCCCTCAACCTAAACCATTCCATGATTCTGTCATGAGTGGGAAACTGGCCATGGGGAGTGTTGAAGGATAAAATGGGAAATGATGCTACTGAGGTTGGGAAGAGTCTTGTTCATTATTTCATTAATGATCTTTACATAAATGTTAGGAATAAGTACCTGAAATTTCATCATGGGGCATATGAGGCCTTGTCCACACAAGGAGGACCTGAGCATCATGCAGAATAAAGCAGGATAATAGGTGGTGGGTTAAAAAATTATCTATTAAAGCTCATGTAGCTGGGAGTTAGTAGTGAGCTGAGAGATGGGCACGTGTCTGACTGGTCACTGATGGGGAGAAGCTGCCGTGAACAAGGCAGTGGTACAACAGGTAAATCCAGTTTAGGGCTTACTAACCTTCTTTCCAATTCAGAGATGAAAGTATCAGTGTGGCTGTGCTGGACCTTGATGGGACCTCATGTAGTGTAACAGTTGCTCTTGTTCAGGAAGGATGCACTTTAAAAGGAACTGGAAGGATGAGAACGAAGCCTTGTTTGTGGGAAGACACTGGTAGAAGTAGTATAGGCTAGAATGAAGAATTAAATGAGAATTTGTTTAAGATCTTAAAATGCAATAAGGAATATTTAATCTTAAGGTCAGTGAGTGTAACCTGACAGTGAATAAATAAGCATGGAAGGATGTTTCTGAGCATGAGAGCACCACATTCCTGGAACAGCTTTCCAGTAGGGAAAGCAAGGGTGGAAAAGTGGTGACTGATGTGCTAATGAAGGGATGTGTATTATTTCTGGTGCTAGCAGAGGACTGAATGGGATAAACCCAGGAAACCACACCTCGAGTTTTACATAGGGAATGAGAAGCCTCCTGTGTTATTTCACACACAAAGATTTTGCTGCTAGTTGTTAGTGTTCTAGAGGGTGGAAACACTGAGTACTGATGCTGCAGGAGTTTTGGGTACTCAAGTTGGTACCTTATGTGCTTCTCTGTGAATTTTTAGTGGAATTTCCTAGATTGCAATAACCACAAGCAGCTATTTTGCTTCTGCTTCACATTGTCTAATCTATGGCTGATGTCAGAGCTCAAGAACACAGTACAGCAGACTATTTGCTCTATTTCCTTCCTGTTTATAGGAAGCAGTAGGTTACAGTTTAATGCATATCATTTTCCAGAGAGCTGTAACATGTAGGAATAGCTCCTGTGCTGTATTCACCTCTTTGACAGGCTGTGCAGTATGGTCATTAGAGCAAAATACATATGGCTGAAATGCATGCATTGTAGTTGCTTTAGATGCATGCAGCTCATCCAGATGTGATTGCAGAGGTGGTTTAAGTGGCAGGAACTCCATTCTTATAGGTGTTTTCTCAGATAAATGTGGTTAGGTGAATGGCTTTGGTGTGTGGTTTGAAACTGAGGTTCTTCCCTGCAAAGGAGATCTGGTTCTCACTTTGCCAATGCCCACTTGGTCTCTAAAATTCCCACCTCTTCCTATACTTGTAGTATAGGAAAACGCAACTGATTCTAAGGTTTTGTTCAGTAATCGGGGCTTGGTGAACTACCACAGGGAGAAGACAGAATTCAGGGACTCCTAGGAGCAGTGGGTTCTTTTGAGTCATGTTTTTCCCCCAGTTTTTACATTGTTTAACAAAAGTTACTGGTTTAAATGTGCTGTGCTTCTCATTGTTCAAATAGCCTGTAAATGTGTTTAACTGCCAGTTTGGTATAACTGATAGCTAATTTGTACTTGCTTTATTTTCAGTGCTTGCACCTCCTCCACCGTTGCCACCACCAGTACAGGGATATGCCTTTAAACCCCCTCCTCGACCAGATTTTGGCACTTCTGGGAGAACAATCAAACTGCAGGCCAACTTCTTTGAAATGGACATTCCTAAAATAGATATCTACCATTATGAATTGGATATAAAGCCAGAAAAATGCCCTAGAAGAGTTAACAGGTAATAACTCTGCTTTGCTTTTCCTCAGTTTTCCTTTGAAATGCTGGAGAGTGTGTTGTCTTCACTGATGGCTTGCAGGATGTGTCTGTCTTCAAGTCGTTGTTTGTGCTGATAGCTTCCAACTTGGCATATCCATCAACAGGCTTCAAGTCTTTCTGTACCAATTCAAGATTTGAGTGTTAATCGTCCCTTATTTTGATTGAACTTGTCAGCATCTTAAGATGCTGCTGATCAAAGCCACTGTGACAGATGGATAAAGTGTACTAACTCTAGTGGAGTGAGGTCAGTATAAGCCAAGTTGATAAATACGATTCTTCGTATTGCTTGGTTAAATATTGAGTGCAGTTGGCTGACAAGTCCTTCAGCAGGGAGCTGGTGTTACCAGCTTGTTTTTCTAACTTCCCCTGCTGACAGGGGGAGGCAAAACCCACTTGTTTGTGCTGCTGCAATAACATCGTGGAGGGACTAAGAAATTATCCTTCATTAGTGGATTCTATATAAGAAAAAGATATGCTTCTGAAAACAGATAGCAAGGTGAAAACATGGATCAGTTGGTGAAGGAAACAAGCAATTAGGTGTTGCGTTTTGCATATGTGCCCTATTAGTCAGTGTGGTAACCTCATTGACTTGAAAGAGTGGTGTTGCCAGAAGTGAAACTTGAAAACAAGACTTGGCAATAACTAGAAACCACAAGTGTCATCATCGTAGCTACCTGCATCTTGACTGTGGAGGATCGGAATGGTGTGTTTCTGTATTCAAGAGCAAAACCTTTCCTTATTAGAAAAAGAGCACATGGGTGGGATATGCAGTCGGGAACATGAGCGAAGTGTGGAGCCACTTGAATGCCAACGTTTTCTTAATGTGAATTAAGAAACTGGAGTACATTATCAGCTGCAATAGTAAAGAATCAGTAATGCTTCATTTTCATAAAGCAGCACCACTGCTCTTTGCTGTCCTTTTTTGATCTATTACCAGTTTAATTTTTAAGCTAGTTGAGAAGTGAATTCAATTTTAAAAGCAAACACTTGTAAGTGTATTAAGCCAAACTCTCTCTTTGCCCAGGGGCAACCCTGCTAATTATACTGAGCTCCTCTTACCACATTGGGGCACTGAAAAGTGTTTGCAGCACTCAGTTTTTTCATAGTGGGAGCCATGAGAGGTTTGCTTTCATTAACTGATACCCCTGCCACCAGCTCCAGCCCTGGCAATTGCTGCTGTCTGGTGCAGATTGTCAATGTTACATAGCTTCTCTGGGAGCTAAGTGCTGCACTGCTCCTGGGTGTTGTGGCTCAGTGTGGTCACCCCCATGATGGTCCAGCGTGTGGGTACTTGCTCACCAATGGCAGAGAGCTTAATTATTAAATCGTAAAGCATTTTTTCTCACTGAAGAGGCAGATTATATTCAGTAGCAAGTTCTCTCTCAGCTGACAGCTTCTGACCTGCTCTGCTTTGTCAGGTTAATCACTCCCTCTGTTGTGGTAACAGGAGCAAGTATAAATCTACATATATTAAATGCCTTTTGCAGTAGACAGAGATGTCATAAATGCATTTGTCAGTGGTATGGTGCATATTTCTCGGCGCAGTGTCGGAAGAATACAAATTGGATTCACTTAATGAAGTGTATGTTTTATTTCTTTTAAGTGCTTATGCCTCTGTGTCCTGTAGATGTACGTGTACACACCTGTGCCTGTGTTTGTGAGCTCTGATCTTTCAGTCCTACATGGATACCTGTATTTTTATGTGTACTTATACATATGTATATAGGATTATGCAGTGCAATTCTAAATTCTATTTATTCATCTGGCTTATGTTTTTCTAGTATTTTTGGTTATATAATTCAGATATATATTTATAGTAAATAGTTCTTGTCATTACTTTATATATTGTAGCCTCTAGAAAGGATGGAGGGAGATTTTATGTTCATTTACACTGCTCCCTCATCTGTCCCAGCTTTGTCCTTCAGTTTTATGCTATAACTTACTACAGCTTGGACTATGGCCCTGCAGACCCGCTGCAGGGATGTGTACATGGAAATTCCTTACTGAGACGGGAGCTGGAGCAGGACTGGGAAACACACAGCTGAGACAACGTGGTGTTGTGCCAGACTAATACAGTCTGGCGACAGTTTGTGTCTTGCAGAAAGGCCAGATCTATTTGCATAGTTAGATAGAGTGGGCAGTGTCAGTTTGGTTCTGCTCCGTGGATGCCTTTGGTTTAATTCAGGACAGTGAGGACTCATCCAAGGTTCAAGATGAACTCTGCAGTCGCTGGCCCCAGGTTCTTGCTGTGTTTGCATGATCTCAGTAGAATAGTAAGTCCCAAAGGGCTGAAGTTAGTGAATCGGTAAATCCATCTTCCTTTAACTTCACAGAGAGAAAATAACTTAGTTTTTAGTACGCTTTCTCCACCCACAGCTGAGAACCACCGTTGCTGAATGTGGTTTACAGCTTGAAAAGCTTAAGCAGAAGTGTTCGTTTTTATATGAAGTAGTTCACAATCGGAAGAACTTGCTCAGTGAGAGAATGGGTTTTCCATTGCTCAGTCCTTAACTCAAGCTTGAAAAATACCTCCTTCCTCCCACCCTCCAGTTTAGGTACTTGTTCAGACACTGCAGACCTGAGGCAGGTATTACTGGGTCAGGTTTTACTCGTACTTCTCTGGAGGTCAGGCAAGTTTCTTTCAGCGGTCACATCTTGTCTTAAAGCCTTGGGACACAGCAAAGAAATTGGCAATTGAAAAAGTCTTCCTTCTTTTCTTGACTGAATTCAGCGTTTCATCTCAAAGTTTTGCTGTAATACCTAGCTGGGTGCTGGGTTAATGACCTTTCCAACTCAAGGCGTATGAAATAGTCACCTGCAGCATATCTGAGCTGCTGTTTGACAGCAGCACTGTGGTTTCCTTTCTCTGTCACTTTAACCACTTCATGCCCTTTTGCCCCAAGCTGTGCGTTAAGGATTTTGGAGGCAGCATTTTGCAGACTGCTGATGGCTTTCAGATTTTTACAGCCTGAAGGGTGTCTCTCTGGGACATTTTGACCAAGGACCTTTGGCATCAAAGGGTGCTGTTTTACCAACAGCCCCCTCATCAGCCGGTGAACTGCTTTGCATGACCAGTGTGTAAACACTGTGGTTTCACAATGACTTTGTGAGTGGTTACCTCATACAAACACACAACCTAATTCCACTACACTTAAATGAATGTGTATTTTTAATATGCACAGGTCCCAGTGACTGCACATAACCAGTTTTGTTGGAGGGAGCCCGGTTCTGCTGCGTACAGGAAAATACTGCATTTAAAAGTGAGCTTTTTTAGCGCAATGCAGAAAGTTTGCATATCACTCATCACAGAATTATCGTCCTTACACTTAAGGCTGTAAGCTTGGATTTGAAAGCTTCTCCAGCTGCTGAGCTTTTGGTCCGTGATCCTCTGCAGAAAGGACTGTAAGGTGGGGAGCAGAAGCCCCAGGAGAATACCAAGCACCTCTCATTTTGAGTTTGAGAGAGCACAAGCTTTCGCTTTACCACTTTCAGTAGATCACAAAAAAGAGGAAGGAAAGTTTCAATCTGAAACAGCTAAAAATAGTTGCTTTAAGAAAACAGTTTAGTCTGTGAAAAGGTTGCTTTGATTCAGATCAGTCAAACAAATCTTGCCTTTAATACCCCGCAGTGGACAACCCTTTCATTTACCTAATGCCTCTATTCATAAATATTAGTGTTAGTGTTCATCTGCTGCTTCACGTTAGAAGTCAAAAGCTGAATTAACATTTTCTTTTTATATTTTCAGGGAAATAGTGGAACATATGGTTCAGCACTTTAAAACCCAGATTTTTGGGGATCGCAAACCAGTGTTTGATGGAAGAAAAAACCTTTATACTGCTATGCCGCTTCCCATTGGGAGAGATAAAGTAAGTTTTAAATAGAAAAGTTTCCAATTGGAGATTTTAAGGTAATATTTGCAGAGCCTTTCTAACAACTGATCAAAACTGATTTTCTGTTTCTGGAATAGACCTATCCTTCTGCTGCTGCTTTGCTCAGAGTGTGGTTTGCCAGGACAGGAAAAGTGAGCTTGTTGCAGTCAAAGGCGGTCATTCCCCTTCCCATATCCTTCTTTCCTGCCTCTCTTTCTCCCCACTTGCATGGTTTCTTCTGGTTTAGTGAGCTGGATCAACTGCCCAAGGCAGCGGACAGGCTCTGTGCTGGCACTGCAGAGAAAGTGAAAGCACAGTTGGGTTGGGAGAGGGGAGCAGAAGCTGTTGTGTCAGCTCCTTAATCTCATCAAAGCCCACTGTAAGCTGATTCTTGCTCTCCACTAGCTGGGAGAAACTCCTCCATCCCTTCATTGCCTCTGTGGAACCTCTTCCCTAATCCTTTACGATGTGAAAGCCGCATTAATTTAAACTACACAGGTTGAGACCTGCTACCTTAGCCCTGGGGCAGTTGAAGAGGACTCGTGTGTTCTGTTTCCCAGCTCTGTATGTGGGGCAGTGGCCTCTCTGGTCACTCTGGTTGTAGCAGCAAAGAGTACCCCTATCTGTGCCCATTGACTGGTGAAGTAGAAGGGGCTGTGTTGGAACACAAACTCTATAGAGTAATTAAGCCTACACATCTGTGGTCTAGTATCAGATTGGATTTTCTGTGGCCTTGTTTATTTGCATGAACACTTGAAGACAGTCCTTCTTGTTACATGTTTGTAGCACAGTAATTCCCATTTTTGGGAATGGATCCATATGGTTCCATAGAATTTGACTGCCACGTAGGCAGCAAAAAGAGAGAAAGGTAAATAGCAATGTGGAAAATTGCTTATGTGATTAAAACTGTGAAAAGAGCTCACCCAAAATCCAGTAGCAGTGTGCTATAGAGTAGCTCTTGCTATCTTTTGCTGTCTCATGTTGTATCCCTGTGCAGTGCTTGACATAGTTCTACCTGTATCAAGCTCTTGATCACATATGTGTAAATTTAATTTCCCCCAAATATATTTAAGTGCGTGTCATGCAGTAAAGGTCAGTCTCTATTCTAGTCTGTTATTTTTCATTAACCGATAAGGTGGCATCTGGGAAAACTCTAAAGGAATCATTAAAAGTATTAGAGATTATTCCCCCCCCCCCCCCAATTCCACATACTGTATTCCAGTTCCTACAGATCTGCCCATATATTTTACAACAAGTTGGAAGTTCTGCATTAAATCAGTAAAGGCAAATAGAAAAACAGTTTATGGAGGATAAACAAACTGAGATCAAAATAATCCTTGGATCTGATGAAAGTGTGACCCTACTCTGATTAGGAACTGCATAAGATGCCTTCCTCCCTCTCCTGTTCCTTCTGTGCCTGAATGTTGCTCATCAAACAGGACTTGATTCTTGATGTTTTGGATTTTAAAGCCCAGATCTACTAAATCATACATGGTAAAAATGAAGTTGAATTGCAGTATCAGCAGGAAATCCTTTTGATGCCCCAATACCTTTGTGTCCTTGCAAGTGAGTGGTGCGAGGTAGCTTGTACCTGGGAAGAGGCTGGCTTGAATGATTGTGTTCACCATTTTCGGTGGGACAGGATTATCCAGCCAAAGAGATGATCATTTGCAACAGATGGTCACTGAGGAGTCTTTATAGTGGAGGTTAGCACAAGATGGTTCAGAGAGTTTCATCTGTAGCTCATTTCTAGGCTTACTTTTAATAAACTCCTGTTTTTCCCTGTTGCTCATGGGATGTAGGACTTTGGTTGTTCAGCCATACATAGAATCATAGAATAGTTAGGATTGGAAAGGACCTTAAGATCATCAAGTTCCAACCCCCCTGCCATGGGCAGGGACACCTCACACTAAACCACGTCACCCAAGGTTCTGTCCAACCTGGTCTTGAACACCGCCAGGGATGGAGCATTCACAACTTCCCTGGGCAACCCATTCCAGTGCCTCACCACCCTCACAGTAAAGAACTTCTTCTTTATATCCAATCTAAACTTCCCCTGTTTAAGTTTTAACCTGTTACCCCTTGTCCTGCCGCTACAGTCCTTAATGGAGTCCCTCCCCAGCATCCTTATAGGCCCCCTTCAGATACTGGAAGGCTGCTATTGAGGTCTCCACGCAGCCTTCTCTTCTCCAGGCTGAACAGCCCCAACTTTCTCAGCCTATCTTCATATGGGAGGTGCTCCAGCCCCTGATCATCCTTGTGGCCTCCTCTGGACTTGTTCCAACAGTTCCATGTCCTTTTTATGTTGAGGACACCAGAACTGCACACAATATTCCAGGTGAGGTCTCACAAGAGCAGAGTAGAGGGGCAGGATCACCTCCTTCGACCTGCTGGTCACGCTCCTTTGGATGCAGTCCAGGATGCATATGTTGATGTTACTACCCTGGAGCAAAGAGCTAATGAAGGTAAATCTTCAGCTGGTTTAAATAGGATGTGGGGAAATGTAGCTTAATGGGGGAATATTTTAAATGGTGCTAAATTGGTTTAAGCATGATTTAAACCAGTATAAATCTTGTAGGCTTTAGGACTTTCCTCTGGCACAATTAGATTAAGTTTTGTTGATGGGGTTTTCTGGCTGTTCTGTACATAACAAATGTAGCAAGTTTGCTGCACATCTGATTATATTTAGGTTCCTATTGAAAAGATCCATGAACCTACAGTGATTAATAGGTGATCCTTAATCTCAGTAGTAGAAGACCTTGATTTACTTGCAGTGTACATCGCTAGTGGAAGAACTGATGCTAAACAGAATGCTGACACCAGATTGCCAACACGTTTCCCTCCTGTTGCTCTTTAACTTAATTAATGGACTTTGTCCTTATCTCTTGTCAGTAGTGGCTGTTCTGGGGTTAGTTTGGTTCTTTTGTCCTTGCTGACAACCCTCTTCTTTTACAACTTCTGCTATTACATATTCTCTGCCTGGCCTTCATGATTATCATCTCTGTTTTCATTCCTTCCGTAGTGTACCTTATTTTCAGTCTTTAATTCCTTCATTTCTTTAGACCTTTGGAGATAAATATGGAATATGTAAATAGTAACAGAATATTTTCTTAGTTTTTAAGGAGTATTTTCAGTCTAGGAGCTGGAATAGAAATTCTCCAGTCTTGGGCCTTTTATTTCCTCCAGGGTCCTGGATACTGCAACACAGGTAGTCCTGCTCTACGTCTTTTTTCATGCCACTGCAATGAAGGAGTTCTGTAAATTGAAACCAGGAGGGGGGAAATAAAAGTAAATATTTTTTTTTTTTAGATTAAGGGTAGCAAAGCTGTTAATAATCAGAGCAGTTTTGCATTAACAGTATCAGGAGTAACAGAAAATATGAAACTTGATTTGGAGGAGATGTTTAGAGGAAAATACAGTTCAGGTGTGACAGATGTTTTCCATCTGCTCTAAATAAGATGCAAGTTGAAGACCTTTTGATGGTGTGGTGGGAAATGAATGCTTCACAGAAGGCTTCCAACTTTTGCCAGCTGAAAACCTGTACCTTTATTTGCACAGCTTTCCAGCAGAGTAACCTTCTGGGCCAGATTCAGACCAGTGACCCCACAATTAGAGCCTGCAGTTCCCATTGCCTTCCCACAGCCATACAGCTCCTTCCTCTGCTCAAGTCTCCTGGTGAATGGTGTTTGTATGGGAGGAGGGATGTGACTGTAATACTGATTTGGTGTGCACACTCTAAACTGTGAACTCGTCTTTTTGCATACAGGAACGCTTGTTATTTGTGTTTCATCTTTCCTTCCTATTGTTTGACTGGGGAAGCTAACTGTCGCCGAACACCAGCTGATTGCATATATTAGCTTGCTGTTATCCATGTATTATATTTGCTAGCCCACTAATTACAGTTTGTCTGTTAAGTGGATGCCTTCTATATGTAAATTGTGAGCTCCCTAGGACAGGAAAGTACACTGGTTTTGTTTATATGCAATACAAAGGATACTGTGATCTTGTTATTCCTTATAGTCACTCCCAGTACTGCTCATCGCTTCAGACAAGCCTTCATTTTAGTCAGTTTAAGAACTTTGTGGTGCTCAGGCTTTCTTTGTTTTAATAAAGAGGAGAAATGAGCATTACAACTAATTACAAGTCATTAGCTGAAGTATTTTACCAAGATGTAGTTTGCCAGTGGTTTTTTAGACACAAAATTCTAAGTAGGGCTTGACATGTCAAAGGAGTGCCCCTGTTTGCTGCCTGATAGCATCACTGCATTGCTACTACTTTGGGGCCGTCATTTATTCTTTCTTTGGTACTTCAAAATGAGAGGGTTTGGGGTTGATGGGTTTTGTGGGGGTTTTGTTTTGTTTGGGGTGTGTTATTTGACCTTTTCTTCTTTGAAAGGTCCTGTTGAATTGTATTTTCTCCTGTTTGAACTGTGTCTACAGTAATAGTATTTAAAGCCCTCTGGTGCTCTAGAGAGTGAGTACCAGAAATACATGAATCTTGGCAGGTAGTGACAGACCAGGTTTTACTTCAGGTGTGCAGGAGCTGACTTGAGCTGTGATGCATTGCAGTGTGTTAGGTATCTGAAATCAGGTTATCGGATCTTCACAGAGACCTCCCAGTTGATATGCAAGCACTCCCAAATTATAATGTTGACTCAAAGGAGGAGGTAGGTGCCAGCTGGGAAGCACGCCCGCTCTCTGAAATGCACCTTTGGAAAGATCTACCTGTAAAAAGAGGCTGTACCTGATGTGTATTGTTTCTTCATCATTGCTTTTTGTCTATTCCCATGCCTTATAGCGCTGTGTAGAGGAATCCATCGTCTCTTCCCTTTTCCCCTTTAAATGGAAAGAATCATCTTGGTTTGTTGTTTGGCATTGTTGCAGGTGGAGCTGGAGGTCACGCTGCCAGGAGAAGGAAAGGACAGAATATTTAAGGTGGCTATAAAGTGGATGTCCTGTGTGAGTTTGCAGGCATTACATGATGCTCTTTCTGGTCGGCTGCCGGGTGTCCCATTTGAAACCATCCAGGCACTGGATGTAGTGATGAGGCACTTGCCTTCCATGAGGTGAGGGGAAGACCTTGACTTCGTTTAGTTGGTGGTTTTGTTATTTGAATTGTTTTAGTGGCTTTTTGGGTAGGATGTGCTTTCATAGCTCAACTAAAGCAATAGCTATCTAGCAGATGGCATGCTCAGGCAAGAGGCAGTGCAGTGATTTTCTGCTCATTCAGTGGAATTAGTAACCTCCAGCCTTGGACGCAAGACACTTTCCGCACTGGTGTTCAGTCTGTGTGCTCTCAGGTGAGGGGTGCCCTGCCATCTCTCATACCCACTTCTCTGTATACCTCAGAGAAGGAAGCTTTCCCCGAGTGGAAAGTAGTTGGAGATTGATGGATGTGTGAGGGTGGCTTTAAAACTTGTTACCCTATTCTGTGTGTCCTTGGGCAGATGTTACTGCTGGTTTTGTATGAAGGACACTGTGCTGTAGGGGAACATTAATGTCACTCACTATAGCTCTTTTTATAGAAAGGAAAATAATTGGGTTTTTTTCTTTCCAAGCAAGTGGAATCTACAGCGTTTGCAGCCAAACCCAGGAGATACTGGGTTTAATTCAGCTGCCGTGAAACAAGTTGCTGAAGACCACTGATCGAACTGCATTCAGTTGGAAAGTAAAGAACAAAATAGGGCTGAACTTTCCCATTTTGAAGGGCTAAATAGGGAAAATGAGTTAAATTTATGTAAAGATCTTTAAATAGCCTTACAGTACATTGACTTTATCTGCTTATTAGGGATTAAACAAAATCACTTTAGTCAAGTTTTGTAACACAGAAAACAGCCGAGATTTGTTAGTCACACATCTTTGTTCAGAGAACCATACTGGCTCTGGGTTTGATTAGTTTAATGTTAGGTGTGCAGTGCTGAATTTCCATGGAGAAAGATGCCTCAAAAATATCTGTTAAATCAGTTGTTTTCCGTAGATTTCAGGGGAAGCAGTGCATAAGTAAGAGGAGAGTTTATTTTAGTGTTGCTTCAATAGCAGGGATGTTTAATTATTTTCTCACTAAAGCATAACTGATTTTTCTAATAGAATACCAAATAAAAGCATAGCTGAATTTTTAGTAAGAGTACAAAAGATGGTTTTAGCGCTTTTTGTTTGAACTAGTAGGCATAATAAGGAGTATACTGAAAATAGATTTAAACAATTATGAGTAGTGGTCAGTTTCTTACTGTAACTTACCTGGATTTTAAGAGGTGTCCTGACGGGAATCTCAGATTGTTGGTAATCTGAAACAGTGACATTTCTCTGCTTTTGTGAATAGGAATTTGCATTAGTTATGGATTTATTACCTTTTTCTTGCTTTAGTTTTATGATCTGAATTTCTTCCCTCTGTTGCAGATATACTCCTGTGGGGCGATCTTTTTTTACAGCATCAGAAGGGTGCTCCAATCCATTGGGTGGTGGCAGAGAAGTTTGGTTTGGCTTCCATCAATCAGTCAGACCTTCATTATGGAAAATGATGTTAAATATTGATGGTAGGTCCTACAGAAACCTTTTCTTCTTCCTTCTTTCCCTTTCAATGGAAAGGCAAAAATTGAGTTCATTTGTTTGATTCCTTCAAAGTTTCCTCAGTACTGCTGTAATTCAATGTTAATGTTTTTGTCTACAGTGTCTGCAACTGCATTTTACAAAGCACAGCCAGTTATTGAGTTCGTGTGTGAAGTTTTGGACTTCAAAAGTATTGAAGAGCAACAAAAACCTCTGACAGATTCCCAAAGGGTAAAGTTTACCAAAGAAATAAAAGGTAATAATTAAAGTACATAAAACTGCTTTGTTCTGTCTGATGATGTTACCACTACAAGCTCAAAATGCATTCTATAGAGGTCGTCTTACTGGGAGACAGATTATCATAACACATGCACTTTCTGAGCAAAGCTAAGAGGCAGGAATTGTTCTATCACTTACATGTATTTTGGGACTTTCAGAAGTCAACCAATCAATGTTATGTTTCAGTCTACTTGTCCTTTTTTCCTGCTACATTAGTTAATCTCTGTAGTTTGCCACTTTGTGGATATAAGGTAAGTTGAGTCAGTTCAGGTAAGGATGTGGCTTCAGGTTTGATGCATCACTAGTGCAAAAAGTAAGCATATTTATTTATTTACTGAACCATCCATATTTAGGGCTCAGGTATGCACATAAGTAAATTATCACATATTCAAGAATCTGTGTTTTAGTGCAACCATTAAGATGATGTTTTACTCTAAATGATGGGCTGAACTAAATTTTCTAGCAGACAGATGATTATTTTAATGACATTAGTTACTGGCTCGTGATGTGTGCAAGCTTTTCCTCATTCAAGTGTAGGTTCTCTTGACATACCTTCATTTATTACATTTTTTGTGGCTCAGCACCACTTGATGAAGTGTCATGTCGAAGTTAATGGCGTGTGTTAGCATCAGAGAACATATCAGTCCAGAGATAATACTGAGATCTTTCCACTATGGAGAACAGCATCCTGTATTATGTCAGTCTCCTTAAAAACATTTGATCTTCCCAAATTAATATTGTAAGGCCAGGTTGGACAGAGCCTTGGGTGACATGGTTTAGTGTGAGATGTCCCTGCCCATGGCAAGGGGGTTGGAACTGGATGATCTTAAGGTCCTTTCCAAACCTAACTATTCTATGATCCTGTATTTACTGTAGTGCTTTACTCTTCATAAAGTACCTCCATCTCTACAGTAAACAGGCCAACAAAAAAATCCGTTTTTTTCACTTCTGAAATCGTTTGGAAGTGCCAGTCCCAGTTCCATGATAAAGACATTCCAGTTCCTGATCTGATGGTACCAAAACGTTTATAAAGACCTGGGGTTTATGTGGCCTTTGGTTTGTTTGTTTTTTTAGATTACCTGATCTTAGATTTTTCCAATTACTGATGCCAAGATTTTCACATTCTAAATTAAACTGTAATTTAGTGATGTGGTTTTGCACACTGAGGTATTTCATACATATGCTCTCCTGGAAGCAAATTATGCTAATCGTAACTTTAATTCTAGAAGTAAGTTATTCTAATACGTAATGACTGAATCAAAGAGTAGGAGAAAAGGATCTTTCTGGTTTTGTTCACTAAAGGTTTCTTCTGAAAAATCAAAGTCTTTCCTTCATGATGTGCTTGATAGAAAGGACGTTAAAAGAGAAAACCAAGCTCTAACTCTATCCTGCAGCTTCCTTGTGGCCATAAAATGTCCTCAAAACCGTGTTTACCCAATTAGAAGTTAGCAAGAAAACTATAAATAGATCCTGTGTTTGTACAGGTTGTAACTGTTTTCCAAAGTAATCAGGCACTGAATTGCCAGGTGGTGGTGGTGTTTTTTCCACGAGGATTTCCATTCTTCAGGTGGAAATAACCATTTCCAGTGTGCAGCAGAGCTCGGTGTGAGCTGAGGTCACAGTTTATCTTTTAATGAAATGCTGGGCTACAGAATTTAGAGATATTAATAAAAACATGAAATTATTGAAGGTTTCAGGCCACACAGCTGCTTACTCACATTCCCCCTTTTTCCTCCCCTGCTCCCAAAGGGATGGGGAGGAGAATCTAAAGAATGTAACTCCCATGGGTTGAGATAAGAGCAGTCCAGTAACTAAGGTATAACACAAACCACTGCTGCTACCACCAATAATAATAATGATAAGGGGAATAACAAGGGAAGAGAATACAACCGCTCACCACCTGCCGACTGATACCCACCCTGACCAGAGCAGCGATCACTCCCTTCCGGGTAACTGCCCCCAGTTTACATCCTGGGCATGACGTGCTGTGGTATGGAATACCTCTTTGGTCAGCTTGGGTCAGGTGTCCTGTCTCTGCTTCCTCCCAGCTTCTCCTCCTCCCTGGCAGAGCATGAGGCTCACAAAGTCCTTGGTCAAACTAAACATTACTGAGCAGCAACTAAGAACATCGGTGTTACCAGCGCTGTTCCCAGGCTGAAAGTCAAAACCACAGCACTGCACCAGCTACTAAGGAGAAAAATGACTGCTGAACCCAGGACATAGCCCTAACAAATTACACTAAGATTAATACGTTGTTTGGGAAGTTATCAGTGCCTGTGGCAGATAGGGTAAATTCAGCAGCAGCCTGAGTTTATATACACGTGCAGATGTGTAAAGAATTCCAATCTACAGTCCCCTCTTTCATATTCCCACACATGGCAACTTCCTATCTCTAATCCCGTCCACGTACATCTGTTTCTGCCTGAGCATGAAAGTAATAGAAATGAAAGCATTGCATTCAAGCTTATACTTGTGGGTAGTGGTAAATTGGAAACACTTCTTCATGGGGAGCTGTGTTGTGCTGGTTTGGGCTGCATAATTTATTCCTCTAGAAGTTATTCGCCTTCAGGTGAGCTTGGCTTTTATGCCAGTGGGATGTGCAGCAGATGTTTGTCTTCATGAGGAGTAAAGCCCCATGGCCTCATTCCCTTGGGCTGCTAGAGGCTGAATAGGTATTTCCACCCCCTCTGACTCATTAGTTCAGGGTCGGTTGCAGTAGTTGGAGGTCTCGCAGGCACCGCGTGTTTAGACATAAAGTATAAACAAGCTGTGTGCTTCAAGGAGGTTGTGTGCCCTTTTTGTCCTTTCACCATCCTGGGCTTCCTAAGAGGTACAGAGTTGGAATTAACAGAATGCACTTTGCTTCGTCTGTGAGCTCTTGGAGCTGTGGGGTTTTGTCTTGTTTGTCTCTAAAGCTCTTTGTTGAACTTTAGCTGAAGCTCAGGGGCTTTGAATGTTAAAGCTATAAATTAGGCTTTTAAGTTCTGTTTGGGATACTCTTTGGTGTTCAGACGATGTACTAAATAGTGAAGAGCTTTACTGCAGAGTTACGTGGTCTGGTGTCGCAGTTTAGGGGGACTAACACCTTGATTTTGAAGAAATGGTGATACTTGTTTTCCAATGTGTAGGTCTGAAGGTGGAGATAACGCACTGTGGACAGATGAAAAGAAAGTACAGAGTGTGCAATGTCACCAGACGTCCAGCAAGTCACCAAACGTAAAGTATTTTGCTGCTTTGTAAGCATATGGTCAGTCTCAGGCCAGAAAAGTATCTGGCCTGGGGAAAATTAGAATGTTATCTGGAAAAATAGAGAAGTATCTGTTCCTTACTGACATAGGAAAAGCTGTGTTGAGAAATGTTGCTTTCTTTGGTCAATATATTTACAATACACCTCAAAGTATTTACTCTGTGTTGCTGCTGGTTTTGTTCTAGTTTTACTCTAGAACAAATGCTTTGGTGTTTGAGCCAATCTCTTTGTTTTAATCTCTGCTGCTTTGGGGTTGGTTTTTTGGTGTTTGGGGTTTTTTGATTACTCTTATTTCTTTATGGATTTCCCCAACGTTGGAAGAACAGGGTTGCACTATTGGTAACCTGATGCTTCCCAGATCTATTGAGTAGAAAAGCAGTGCCAGCTGGCATAAGCTTTCTAATCTTGATATTACCCATCGGTTTTTCCTGTGGAAGTAATGTTTGTTTTCAGTCACTAACCAGAGATTTACAGATAACTTGTATATGGAGGTATTTATTCCTATTTTCAAGCCAGTGGTGTAAGGAGCCAAGCTAATCATAGACTCATGGCGTGGTTAGGGTTGGATAACAGCTGGATAACAAGAAAATAACTGATCAGTATCTAGACCTGGTATTTAATTGTCTGGGCTTTGTTTTGTGCTATCAGTGAAGAAACAGTGTTTGTGTGCCCCTTCACATGTATATGCAAATGTGTGTGCACATACAGAAGTATTTGTGATGCACAGAAAGAGAGTAGTGCATTTCTGAAGCAGGAATTGGTTTTTGCAACTCTCACAGTAGATTCGCTGTTTCCTGTGCATGCTGTATCATAAAATGTAGTACTACACATATCCCAGATAAGCAGGAAACATTAATCTTTGTCTCTAGGGCACATGCTCTAAGGAAACTTAATTCATAGCTTTAGGTATCAAGAATGTTAGAGAAATAGCCTGCTGTTGTACTGTTAGAAGACACAGTAGTGGCAGTGATGGAATCTGAATTCTAGAAGTACACTGTAGTGACAGGACAAGGGGGAATGGGTTCAAGTTGAAACAGGGGAGATTCAGGTTAAGATATAAGGAAGAAGTTGTTTACTGTGAGGGTGGTGAGGCACTGGAATGGGTTGCCCAGGGAAGTTGTGTTCAAGGCCAGGTTGGACAGAGCCTTGGGAGACATGGTTTAGTGTGAGGCGTCCCTGCCCGTAGCAGGGGGTTGGAACTGGATGATCTTAAGGTCCCTTCCAACCAAAACCATTCTATGATTTCAACAAATTAGGTTTAATCTCCAGTAAGCTTCACTTGCTTAATACATTTATCAGCACAAATGTGGGAAATTACATGAAGTAATGTCTTATTTTAATACTTGATTTCCAACAGATTCCCACTTCAGCAGGAGAATGGACAAACAGTTGAATGCACTGTAGCTCAGTATTTTAAGGACAGGCACAAATTAGTTTTACGCTATCCTCACCTTCCATGTTTACAAGTTGGACAGGAGCAGAAACACACATACCTCCCTCTTGAGGCAAGTAAACTTCTGGTTAATACCGGTGTTGGGAGAATGGGGGTCAGAGGCATATTAGCTCAAACCTTCCTTCACTGACACGTGAAGATAACCCAGCAGTCTTTGCATGATCCGCATTACAGAGTGATCTCATGAACTATTCTGGTTAATACTGGTATTGGGAGAATGGGGGGTCCGAGGGAAAAGGGCTCAACTATTGACAAGCTGATTTTTGAGTAGCCAACTTTCCAAATTCTCTAGTGCAGCAATGAAAAGAATGCAACAAATCAACCCCCCGTTACACTGTGCTTTTTAACTTCCTTTGTGGGGGGGGACGTTTCAGGTGTGCAACATAGTGGCAGGACAAAGATGCATAAAGAAACTCACTGACAATCAAACTTCCACTATGATTCGAGCAACTGCCAGATCAGCACCTGACCGTCAAGAAGAGATTAGCAAATTGGTGAGTGGTCTGATGAAAATGAGTGAAACACAGTAACGGCCTTCATTTTATTGCCATTAGCAGATACTGAATGGTTTGTGCACTATGCACAGGTTGTGAGCTTGTTTTTATAAGCCTTTGCCCATTAATGTGAGAGAAATACATTCTCACAAAATGTTTTTAAGTGGGGTTTTTTGGGTGCTTTATTTAAAATTTTGAGGCATCCGTGTATCCAAGTGGAGTTAACAGAGGTTCTGGATGCGTGGCATCACCCATATATAAGGGGTGTGTGCCCAAACACAGGTTATCTCAGATTTAGATCATAAAAAGAACTTTTTTTTGTGCAAGAGGTGTCTAATCCCTTTGTAATTTCAGATGCGGAGCGCGAGTTTCAATACTGACCCTTATGTTCGTGAGTTTGGAATCATGGTCAAAGATGAAATGACAGATGTGACTGGTCGAGTCCTGCAGCCTCCTTCCATCCTCTATGGAGGCAGGGTACGTGGAACACATAGTGTGCAATCTGCGATAACTTCTGTAATATGGTGGTTTCAAATTAATTATGTTGAATATGATGAGATAATGAATATGAAGTCATCGTAATGTTTAGAATTTAAGTGTAAGCTTTGAAAGGCCTTAAATGTAATGGCCATTTTGCATCTCCCTCAATTGCTTCTTTATTTCTGAAAGGTTAAAAATCCTTAAGGTAAAGTTAGGAGGAAAAGGTGTGTATTTTTCCTTCACACACTGTTCTGTTGTGTGTTGCAAAAAGAAATCTATGAATAATGGTTCAAGTCAGTGTGTATGAGAAGAACAGAGACAGCTTCAATTACTACTGTTCCTATTTTCCTCTCAAATCTGAAATCTTACAGAACTTCTCATTGGTTTTGTGTGTTCTGGGTGGTAGCTGTGTTTAGGAGAACTAGCTTCAGGTATCTTCTCTGTCAGCATGTTTTTCTCTAGAGCCATCTCTTCCTGTTGGAGTATTTACTCACAGGTTTTGTTTTTACAATGGCTTTTTAGGTGGCCTTTCCAACATGATCTTCCTATTGTGGTATCCTTCAAAAAAACTTCAGGAAACAGAATTTTCTGTCAGTTCTATAACATGTCTTGGTTTTATGCAAGATGAAAGGTTGATAGCTGGGATAACATCATTTGTGGAGGCTTCTGATGAACCTCTTCTAGATCATATCTGAAGGGGGCCTACAAGGATGCCAGAGAGGGACTCTTCATTATACAATCGTGGAATAGTTAGGGTTGGAAATAACCTTAGGATCATCCAGTTCCAACCCCCTGCCGTGGGCAGGGACACCTCACACTAAACCATGTCACCGAAGGCTTTGTCCAACCTGGCCTTGAACACTGCCAGGGATGGAGCATTCACAACTTCATTGGGCAACCTGTGCCAGTGCCTCACCACCCTCATAGTAAAGAACTTCTTCCTTATATCTAACGTGAACTTCCTCTGTTAAAGTTTAAACCCATTGCCCCTTGCCCTATTGCTACAGTCCCTTATAGGTGTCCGTTCCCCCCCCCCCGAGCATTCACAACTTCCATGGGCAACCCATTCCAGTGCCTCACCACCCTCACAGTAAAGAACTTCTTCCTTATATCCAGTCTAAACTTCACCTGCTTTAGTTTTAACCCGTTACCCCTTGTGTCCTGGCACTACAGTCCCTAATGAAGAGTCCCTCCCCAGCATCCCTATAGGTCCCCTAAAGGAGGACCTATAAGGGACTGTAGCAATAGGGCAAGGGGCAATGGGTTTAAACTTTAACAGAGGAAGTTCAGGTTAGATATAAGGAAGAAGTTCTTTACTATGAGGATGGTGAGGCACTGGCACAGGTTGCCCAATGAAGTTGTGAACGCTCCATCCCTGGCAGTGTTCAAGGCCAGGCTGGACAGAGCCTTGGGTGACATGGTTTAGTGTGAGGTGTCCCTGCCCATGGCTGGGGGGTTGGAACTGGATGATCTTAAGGTCCTTTTAAACCCAAACCATTCTATGATGCACAAATCAGACTGTTACCTCCATAAACTGCCAGTGGGAGAGGATCTTGTGGTCTTCTACCTAAAGTTCTTCAGACAAAATTGGGCATGTTAGCTCAAACCTTACTTCACTGACACGTGAAGATAACCCAGCAGTCTTTGCACGATTCGCATTATAGAGTGATCTCATGAACTGTTCTGGCACCAGGGGAACAAGAGCTTAATGTCAGATGAATGATGGAAACGAATGATGGGGGTGGTAACGTCTTCAAGAGACACAACCCTTTTGCAAAATGAATTATGAAATTTGTGTGGGTGTCCTGAAAAATACCCCTAACTTTTAGCTGTTGCTGCCAAATGAGAAGTCAGACGTCATGGGAACTCGTCTAAAACATCTGCAGGATACTGCTACCTTGTAAGGCAGTTAACATCACCAGAGTTACTTCAGTTGTCTCATTATATCCCTTGTCCTCGAGATAACCCATCAAACTAATGTCTGCTTCATGGGAGAGAGGAAAAGTGTTGTGCAGGTCAAAGCTGAATAACTGATTGTCTTTGTCAGCTTGTTCACATTTTTCCTATAGAGTTGTGTGAATGGCATGAAACCACTGTTTGCCTCTACTTAGTCATGTTTAAAGGACTGATAAAGTCTCTCTGGAAATTTCACTGAGTGGTTGTAAAGTCGCTGTGGAAATAGCATTGCATACCAACTGTGAATCCGATTGCTATCTGTGTGTAATTTCTACCTGCTGCTGATTTATATAACCAAATAAAACCATCAGCAATAAAAATGAATAATGTGAGCTTTATTTTTCAGCAAAATGATTGCTACAGTGATAAAATGAACTTTGTAAGATAGGATGAATGTTTGAGTAGTGGAGACAAAGACTTCAGAATGGAAGTTGCCTACTAGGGGGAGGGAAGTAGAAGGAGGACTGGTTTATGTTGGCTTGAATCAATTTTTGCCTTAGTGTTTAGTTTTCTTTTTCCTTGCACTTCCAGAATAAAGCAATTGCTACACCAGTTCAAGGAGTCTGGGACATGAGGAATAAACAGTTTCACACTGGAATTGAGATAAAGGTTTGGGCAATCGCGTGCTTTGCTCCCCAGCGCCAGTGCACTGAAGTTCATCTTAAGTAAGTGTTTTTCATAAGATGGTGATTTTCTTATTTATTATGTATGGACATACCATAATCTCACTTATTTAGAACATGTGAGTTGTTAAATTGTTTGATGGATGGCAGTCAATCTTTAACAGTGCTTCTGAAGTTCTATTTGAAGTTCTATTTGAAGTTGAGGCTGTTCAGCCTGGAGAAGAGAAGGCTGCGTGGAGACCTCATAGCAGCCTTCCAGTATCTGAAGGGGGCCTATAGGGATGTTGGGGAGGGACTCTTCATTAGAGACTGTAGTGATAGGACAAGGGGTGATGGGTTAAAACTTAAACAGGGGAAGTTTAGATTGGATATAAGGAGGAAGTTCTTTCCTGTTAGGGTGGTGAGGCACTGGAATGGGTTGCCCAGGGAAGTTGTGAATGCTCCATCCCTGGCAGTGTTCAAGGCCAGGCTGGACAGAGCCTTGGGTGACCTGGTTTAGTGTGAGGTGTCCCTGCCCATGGCAGGGGGAGTTGGAACTTGATGACCTTAAGGTCCTTTCCAACCCTAAATATTCTGTGATTCTGTTTCATTGCCTTGAATGATGCCACTATGATTTCAATGCTAGCACCATGAAATCCTCCATATCAGACTTACCAAAAGCAATTTACACTATGTGGCAGGTTTTCTGACAGTGAGGCCTTAGGGCAGACCTTAAGATTAGAGAAAGGATGTAATGATAGGTGTTTATCACCAAGCATTTGTCAAGTGTGAAAGCTAACACATGTGTTGTCTTAGATTCTTTTCCTGGTTATATGGCATAGATTTATTCATGCAGAACTTACTTAAAAGGAAAGCTTTAAAAAGCAATCCAACTATTGTCTACGACTTTCTAGCTGTTAGAGTATCTGTAATGTGCAGGTTGCTGCATTTGCAAGGTGAGTAGGACTAGTTGTTTGGTTGACTTTGAATAGTTGAATGAAACTTCCAGATTTGGTTTCATCTGTTTTGGATGGAACATGAAAACCAAGCTCTTTCCTTCATTAAAACACATTCCATGTAACATCCATGAAATACATGAATGTTAAAAATGACATCCTGGAGCAGCCTGGTCTAGTGGGAGGTGTCCCTGTCCATGGCAGGGGGTTGGAACTGAATGGTCTCTATATCCCCTCCAACTGAAACCATCCCGTGAGTCTATGAAAACCAGGTTGTCTCTGTTTCTGACCAGTTCCATCAGAGGGTGAGTTATATTTGCACTATCCTTGGAGAAGGTTCATCTAAATGTCCAGAGCACACCTTTTCTGTGATAACCAGCAAGGTTTTCTTGTGCATTATTACTGATGTTAGATCAGTTCACTGAGACACAATTGCTGGTAACTTCTGCCGGTTGTTTCCTCAACAAAATAAAGGAGGAACTCCAGACATCTTGGTAGTGGTGATACCATGTGGAAGTATGGTAGAGCAGGCCATCCAAAGGATCATTGTTGCAGTGTTTTGGCACAAAGTAGCTTACCTCCTACAGAAAGATCAAATAAGGTGGAATTTGCTTTGGAAATGAAGTTTTTAGTAATGGTGTCATTTATACTCTGTATTTCCTCATCTTCCCCTGTCTTTCCTTCGGGGACTGCATAGGGATAGTCAATTAAAGATGCACTGGGGGAAATTCCCAGCTTTTTGGACAGCTCATCTCTGCAAGTTTAACAGGGCTGTTCCATTAAAAATAAGAACAAAAATCAAGGTGAATTTTGCTACCTGAGAATCAAATGTGTTCATTTCCATCCCTTAGGTCCTTTACAGAACAACTGAGGAAGATTTCCAGAGATGCAGGAATGCCAATCCAGGGGCAGCCGTGCTTCTGTAAATATGCCCAGGGAGCTGACAGTGTGGAGCCCATGTTCAGACACCTCAAGAACACTTACACTGGGTTGCAGCTCGTGGTAGTAATTTTGCCAGGAAAAACACCAGTCTATGGTCAGTAAGTGCAAATCCTGTGTGTGTGTTTCAGACACAACTTCGTGTCTCTTTTGGGAAGTATTTGAATGAGAGAAGTTTATTTTAACTACATCAATTCCATTTAGGGAATGGGCTATAAATGATTTTTATTCTCCTTGTGCTGTGTGATGTTTTATATGAAGTTCTTAATTCTTTTCATTAGTTTTGTCTATGCTTTTAATTTGCTCTTCCACATTCTTCCTGTTGGCTGCATTTGAGATGCAGTGAGGGAGAAAGCTAAAGCAGGGCTTTTGTGAAATGGATTCAATTGATACGTCCTGGATTAAAATATACTTTCTGTAACTTGTGTGCTCAAAATTCCAAGTGATTGAAGAAGTAATGACCTCAAGAATTATGTAGCCTTTAGAACTTCTTTGCCTACTCATGCCATCACCCTTTGTCAGAAGAAGTTGAGTGAAAGAGAAGATTTGTGTCAATCACTTCCTTTGCCTATTCTTTCAGGTTTTTTAACTCTTGGGTTGTAAGGATCAGGTGGTAAAAACTCAGCAACTTCAGCTGGTCTTTGTGGAGGCAAACCGACACTTTACATAGCACATACACATAGGTTTTAATATGTTTTAGATAAACCATGCATTTTGGTATTCAGCTAGCTTTTACTATAGCATGATTGGTTGGTTTCCTATCCTGCCTTCCTCCTCCTTCCACTTAGCTTGCTCAATTGCAGCACCGTCCACTATTTTCTCCTGTAGCTTCATGGACAGCTTCTCTGATGGCTCAGATCTAACAAGCAGCTGCAGATTTGGTTTATCCCATCCCTCACCAATTTAATACAATAGAAAATAATTTCCTAACTTTCTTTTCCCAAGATTATCTCATCCAAGATGAAAAGAGAGGTTTAAGAAGGAAGCTTCCTTGCAAAGCAGGTGGCTCCTCTCTAATTTGTTCAATAGAAATTCAGTGCAAAATGACATTTTCACTTTTCCTGCTTGGCATTAAAAGGGGACTCTTTACTTAACCGCTAAGAGGATGTGGTACCACTCGCATCTGCTTTCCTTGTCATTATCTTTAATTACAGTTCTTTCTGCCCCCTCTAATCATCTCTCTTTGTTTTCTCCCTGTGTTCTCCCTGTGTTTCTCCCTGTGTGCTCTTCCTATAGCCACAGTCTTGTATTTTCTCCTCTCCTCACCCTGTTCCTCAGAAAGCCTCTTTCCATCTCCTGTTGCCAGAGGAGGGGCTGTATCTTTTCTAAGCCTGTCTTGGAGCCTAAATGTCTTCTGAGTATGGCTCTTTTAAAGCCTTTAAGCCTTAATTTTGTTGTTAACAATAGGATTTCTTTTGACTTTTTGAACAGTAAAGTTCTTAATAAGTTCCTGTTGGAGTTTTTATGGGCCATCCTTTGGTGAAGTGGCCACTTCTTCTGCAAGGGGTGAACTGATAAACTTGTTGGCTGAATGTTACTTAGCACATTAATATGGAGTTTGTGTTACTGGTCTGGTATTTCAGAATGAAACAAGTGCTTATCATCATCATACTTTTCACATTACCAGCTCCATTGGCAAAGGCTTTTCCGTGCTGATAATAAAACACTGTTACTCTAAAATTACAATTAGTGTCATTTAAAGAAAAATCATAGCTAAAATAAGCCACTGGTGCCTTTTAATTATATTTAGGACCCAGTGACTGTGCTGTTGGCAGGTGGAGCAGGAGGGAGGTTCATTGAAGGCTGTGTTTGGGGGTTATGTTTCTCCTTGTTTCTTTAAGCTTAAAGACCCCTTTGCTAAATCTCTGTGGGTAGTTCATTGTCACTGAAGGTCTCTTGTGTTGTTTGTCTTGCCATATGCAAGTATTTATTGGTCGTAATTTGTTCTGCAGCGGAGGTGAAGCGTGTGGGTGACACGGTGCTGGGGATGGCTACACAGTGCGTCCAGATGAAAAACGTGCAAAGAACAACGCCACAGACTCTGTCCAACCTTTGCTTGAAAATCAATGTCAAGCTAGGAGGCGTGAATAACATTCTACTGCCACAGGGAAGGTAAGCTGGCTGTCAGAGAGGAAGGGGGAGTTGCAGCATAAAGAGAACACAGGTCGTACTAGGATAACTGCGTGTTTCATGTGTAGCCATAGCGCTGTGGTTTACGTGACTCTTGGGTTACAGAGGCTGGAGAGGAATACGTGTTCCAGTTGACATTTGTTATTTCAGTCTGACCATTGGAGTGTACAGCTTCCACTTGAATGAAACGCTTGTGATGCTTTACTTGCCTTGAGTTTCCAGAAGCAAACGGAGAAGTGCCTTTTACTTTATAGCTTGTGGTCAAGATTCTTTGTTTTATTGTATGTCTTCACTTACATAGACATTTAAAAAACAAGCTGGGAGCAGAAAACTCTTTAACTGGTTTCCAGGTTCAGTTTGCCTTGCAATTTCTTAGTATTGCATTGATAAGTCTTAGTTATACTGTTACTACATTCCATGAAGTTGCTTTGATACTACTGAATTGCATATCTGACATGTCACTGAAGTCCTGCATATAGGTGGGAGTGAAATATTAACAGAAGGGACCTTGCTGTTGATACACAAACCAGATTTAGTCTTTGTCTGAAATCAAATGTTCTTAAACTGAAACTAATTAAAAGCTTTACTGAAAAATCAGTGACAAGAAATCCTAATGGAAGAATGAACAAAGTAACAGCTTTTGCCTATGCAGGATAGACGAGCCGTGCATAAAGAGATAGACACTTGAATCAAAGCAAACAACTAGGTTTTACATCAGTAAAAAGATGGCATTTTACAATCGCTGCGTTTCAGTAAGTAGAGGGAGCTTGGGGTAGGATCTGCGGCATCGTTCTTGGGAGCCTGTTTTAAAGAAGTCAGTGTTCTGCTTGGCCCAGATAAGCAAAGTTTCACTTCAGTATACTTAGGCTTGCCAGAAGGTGAAATTAAGAAGTTAGGGAGGAAAAAGAAGAACATGGTATCAGGAGGGATATATATATTGTTTGTTAAATCCCGTTTCTTGAGCTAAATATACTCAGCCTGGGTTGTGTGCTCCTGCTAAATAAAATCCTCATATTACAGAGCATGAATTAGAGCAAGGCACAGTGGGGTGTTTGGGTCTTTGGTTTTAGTTTTGTTTCTCCGAAAGGAGCTAAAGATACTGCTGTGGAAACAAAATAGAAACACACATCATAGAAGTAGTTCTATGCTCCTTTTTCATAAACATAAGGCCTCTGTTAAGTGTCGTGTGTTGACGGTAATAATGTGGCCAGAAAGGTGATTTATGTTCATTATACCAAGAAACTGCATTTGTGAAAATGGAGTTAAGGGGGGAAAAATGGCACCACTACACACCATACCTGGGCATTCTGGAAAACTGCAGGATTGGGGTATTTAAACCAGAGCTCTGTTATTTTTTGTTGGTTGAGGGGATGGGAGCAGAACAGCTTTTTATTTGTATAATTGCATTGTGAGTTCCAGTGCTATAATTACCTTCAAATGCCTTTTTAGAGAAGGTCTGAAAACAGCTGAATGTACATCACTGTTTCCCGCACACCCACATACACAGATTCTGCTGGCCTAAGATTTCTTGTTTAAAATTGTTTTATTAAGGAATAGAGTTGAAGTTTAAAACTCCCAGTCTAGTCTTTTGGTGTTCTACCCCTGATGCAGTGATTGATGTCTTAAAGGTTTGCTTAAAACCGTCATAGAATCATAGGATTGGGTTGGAAGGGACCTTAAGATCATCCAGTTCCAGCCCCCTGCCACAGGCAGTGACACCTTCCACTAGAGCAGGTTGCTCCCAGCCCCGTCCAGCCTGGCCTTGAACACTGCCAGGGATGGGGCAGCCACAGCTTCTCTGGGAAAAGCATAGTTTTCTTCAGAATAATCTACTTTTAAAGTAATTGCTACAATGTCAAGGCCAGTTTGGATGTGCAAATTCTTGACTAATTCACTGCAAGGGTATAAAGTGCAATTTACCTGTTTATAATGTGCTTTATTAAGCATAAGCTTTGCTGCTTTTACAAGTCTCCTTTCTCTTTGATCAGACCACCAGTGTTTCAACAGCCCGTCATATTCCTTGGTGCAGATGTAACTCATCCTCCAGCTGGAGATGGAAAAAAGCCTTCCATTGCTGCAGTGAGTAAATTGTGTAATGATCTTTAACCCCCGCTCTGTCCTGCTGTTCATCTCCAATGCATTTTATTGGTTTCAATTCTTTTGTGGTCCATTTCTTCTCTCCAGTTATAGTGTTATAAATGACTTTTCTGCAGGGATCTAATGAACTTCAGAGAACTTGCTCCAATACTAATTCCTTACATGTGTATAGTAGCTTGTAAAATGCCTGGGCTGCTGCTACACAGAGGAGCTTTTCTATTAGCTGCTATTTATCAGCAACAGTAATGAGTTGGTGCCTGTTTAAATCTGCTTATTCAGCAGTTAAAAATGTTAAGACTTTATCCATTACTGCTGGGGAGCTGGGTTGGCTTAGTTGTAGTTTTAGGTGATTCAAGCTTCCTCATAACACAAAATGTGCAGTAATCTCTTGGAAAGGCTGGGAATGAAAATCTCTGGGGAATGGCCTTTGACTGCATGATGTTAAAACACCTGTAGTGCCTGCTCTGGCTTATTGAATAATGAAGATGTTTGGTGACGGTATGTGCAGTGTCTTATCTGTGGTGCTAAATACACAAAGAACTGAAAAGCCTTCCCTTGGCAGGCAGTGTCTGTCTTAACTGACTTGCAGAGTGTGAATTTGACTCCATCTTTGCTAGGTCAACCACTTAGTTTACACGATACTGTTAGAAAGCGAGTGCACTTACCTTCATGAAATACCTTTAATAAAGTGCTTTGAATGGTTTGATACTAAGCATGTTCTCCAACAGGTTGTAGGAAGCATGGATGCTCATCCTAACCGATACTGTGCCACTGTTCGGGTCCAGCAGCACCGCCAAGAAATCATCCAGGATTTGGCTGCCATGGTCAGGGAGCTGCTTATTCAGTTCTACAAATCAACTCGATTTAAACCAACTCGTATCATCTTCTACAGAGATGGTGTTTCCGAGGGGCAGTTTCAGCAGGTTAGGTTTTTCTTGCTGAGGTTTTGATTATGTAGGTTTCTGGTAGTAATGTAGCTTTATGTAATTGGAGTTCTGAAAAGAAGTATACCCTCTACAAATTCCTTGCATTCTAACCAAGCAGAGCAGGGAAACTGCTTTCACATCTTTCACGAGCTTTGTGTTTAATGCTTTCCTCCTTTAAAGTCATGGCATAATAAAATGATACCTCAGTTTGCATTATTTCCCTTTGGAATATTTTGCCTTTGAAATTCTTCCCTTTGCAAAATTACAAATGATCAAGTCTACTTCTAGCATTCAAGTTATGTTCAGTATCTGTGACCTGTCCAAGATACATTAGTCCAACTGTATCCCATTGAACTTGGACTATTTTTAAATGAAAAGTATAAGCTACTTTTCCTATTTTTTAAACCAGGATTAGTAAATGCTGTATTTTCACATTGTCACTTTTAATTCATTCCTGATGAAACTCGACAAATTCTTGTAATTCTTTTGTTTGCTTACAAGTACCATATTTTATGAGATATTTCCTATATGGGTTCAGACTGAAACAGGGCAAGTTCAGGTTGGTTACAAGGAAGAAGTTCTTTACTGTGAGGGTGCTGAGGCACTGGAATGGGTTGCCCAAGGAAGTTGTGAATGCTCCATCCCTGGCAGTGTTCAAGGCCAGGTTGGACAGAGCCTTGGGTGACATGGTTTAGTGTGAGGCATCGCTGCCCGTGGCAAGGGGTTGGAGCTGGATGATCTTAAGGTCCTTTCCAACCCAAACCATTCTGTGATTCTGTAAATTTTAAAGATATTCACATACACTTTCCTGTATTTTTATGTGTAAATTTAGAGAATTTAGTGAATTTCTCAAAATCCAAGGGGAAGGAAGTAAAGATCACTTGGTAAACTTGAATTAATAAAATAATCTTAGTATGAACTTTTGATTTTTTTTTTTTTCCCCCCTTTTTTTCAGTGATTACTTTATAATTAACCCAAATCCCAAACAACTGCTTTTTGTTCTATTGCCTTCCCCTTCTCCATTCTTACTGATGCCTGCAGTCCTGCCGGAGACTTCACAAAGCTGGGAAAGAGCACATAGTTGAGCAATTCTGGATTGTATCCCTTGTGCTAGCCTGAAAAATAATGAGGCTGTTGTATATTCACCAGCCTAATTAAATGTTCATTTGTATTTGGCAGTTAAGAAGATTTTGACATGCAGCTTATTAGTCCAAGCCTTGTGCTTGGAGCTGAACAAATATGGAGCCAGCTCTTTGCCTGGCTCAGGAAACTGGTGATTTAATTTGTTCTCATTAAGTGAAGAGATGAAGGTTTGATGCTGCATGCTTTGACATCTCATTACTGAGTGACAATGAGGAAGGAACATGATAAATAAGAGTCATCTGCAGATAAATAGGAGTAAGAGATAACTATCTTTCGTATTTATCATGCATCTTTGTGTTTATGATTCAGGTCCTCCATCATGAGTTGCTGGCTATCAGAGAAGCATGCATTAAACTAGAAAAGGATTACCAGCCTGGAATTACTTTCATAGTTGTGCAGAAAAGGCATCACACCAGACTCTTCTGTACAGATAAAAATGAACGGGTATGTTCTAATTGGGACCAGCAAGTACCTAGCAGGCAGCCAAGTTCCCTGTTACTCACTCCTTGTTTAGGTAGTAAGAGACTTGTTTGAAAAACTACATAATACAGTGGGTGAGATCTTTCTATCTGGAAAGGAAAACCTTTGTTTTGTGTCCCATATAATAAACTGGTAAGAAGCTTTTATGAACCATCAGCAGGATTTGCTTTTCAACAAGTCTGTCCAGCCTTTATCAGCTTTTTCAGGCTGCTTTTCCTTTGTTTTACTGTCTGAAGATCCTCAAGGCTTGAGATTAATCTGAGTGGTGAAGGGTTTATAATGCAGATGTCTGCATCTGGAGTTGTAGGCACTCTTGGTTGCAAATGGAGATCTGTGTATTATTTCCAACTGCACTTTAAGGCACATTTCTTGTGATTCCAGCGCTAGTAAGTTCACTGGTTTGGTTGTCGTTGACTAGAGAGGTACTCTTGGGTTACCAGCAGGTGTAGACACCTGCACAGTAGACAAATTGTTAGGTAAGGTGAACCCTACACTTTGAGGACACTTTCTTTTCCATTATTGCTACCTTTAAGGTATCCTGCGTGTCTAATGTCAGACATGTGGAGTTTGTTTTGGTATCACCTTTGGTACCAGTACATTATTTGTAGCACTGAAAATCTCAAATGGTTTCATGAGTGTTTCTCAGCTGTTACTGTATCTGTGTGAAGTACATGTAGAATTACTTGATGCGAGGAGATTCCTCAAGTCTGGGATGGAGTCATTGCTGTAAGTGAAGAGTTTCCAATGGCAAACCTCTTTTCACAGATGAGTTTTTTCATGTTGTTCTTCCTTGTGTCAGGCTTCTCTGTGAGCATTTGAAGCCCAGTAGGTTTCAAGGCAATAGTAACTTTAAATGCTGCCATGAAGGTGGTTTTTATATTGATAACATACTATGATAACAGTTGTTAAATTGATTTAAAGAGTATTTTAAAGTTCTGCTTGTAAGTAAAGTGGTTTTGAGGGAAGAGGAGGCCTGTCTTACAGCTGTCCTCTTTCAGGTATAAACAAGAAAAGTTAGAGGGGAATAACCTGTCCTGGGGTAGGAAGATGAAAAGAAATTGACAAATGAGTTGCAGGAAATTCTTTTCACATTAATCAGAAAAGCTAATCCGTGGGTAACTTCTAAAAAGGTTTTGCAGCTCTTTTTTCCCCTCCATAGTAGAGACTCCAGGTTTTCAGTTGAGCAAAACTTGAGTTATTTCAGTTTTGCTCATTGTCTCATTTTGCTTTTCACCGTTTTTGTTTTTTGTGGTCTTTCCTTACTCTGCAGCTGCAAAGGACAAACTCTGTGTGTGCCTTATTGTCTTGGCATTTTCTGTTCACACAGGTTGGAAAAAGTGGAAACATTCCGGCTGGTACCACAGTGGACACAAAAATCACCCATCCATCCGAGTTTGACTTTTACCTGTGTAGTCACGCTGGTATTCAGGTACAGCACTTTGTGTGGGATGGTAACTTTCAAACACTGGTTGGTAGTATTTTCTGTGTTCTTTGCACAGGAGACTAAGGGTACAACTTTCATGTGTGTGTTTCAGCTTCTGTGCCATCCACAGCGCTCTTCTGTCATGATTAAACTCTAACAGAAACAATGAAACTAAGCAGTTATGAAGCATCCCCTGTGCATTTAGTTTATTGTGCTTCTCTCCTGTCTATGTACTGCTTTGAATGGTCGGAGGTAGTTGGACTATCTTGCATAGCTGCCTCTTGCATTAAAATCACTTGAAATGTGCATCCAGTTCCTAGGAAACAACTACATTTAGACAGCACCATTGTAATTTCACGTATTCTTGTGATTTCCTCCTCCCAGTCAGGAACAGAAGCTAGTAAACAGCAACAGTACTGAATATGCTTTTATCCAGAGTATTGAAATTTAACTGTCAACAGGGTCACAAGTTAGATTGCTGTGAGCTGTTAATATTTTGCCTAAAGATACTTTATATGATGGCTTTTTGTCAAAGTTGAGTTTACAAGACGAAAGCTCAGTTCCATAATATCACTTAATTTCAGTAACAGGGATAAAATCCCTGGAAACGCAATCCTATCTAGAAATGCAAAGGGATAAGTTCTGTGGGGGGCACTTTTTAAAGCAAAACTTTGCTGAAGGATGTGGAATTGATCACACATGATTTTTGAGGACGGGTCTGGTTTTGCTGCAGTTGTCCTGCAGAGGTGGGAACGCAAAGAGCCGTGTTTGAAATGCTGACATCCTGTGTGTGATCTGCCTTCAGGGAACAAGCAGACCTTCTCATTACCATGTCCTCTGGGATGACAATCGTTTCTCTTCAGATGAACTGCAGATTCTCACCTATCAGCTGTGTCACACATATGTACGTTGTACCCGTTCTGTTTCCATCCCTGCACCAGCATATTATGCTCATCTGGTTGCCTTCAGAGCCCGGTATCATCTGGTGGATAAAGAACACGATAGGTAAGTTACATAGTTTTGAAATATAACAGAATTGGAAAGGAAGCAGGAAGGAGGTGGGCTTGTTCATTCTGGGGTCAGTAGTATCCTCAGTTAGCAGTTCGAGCGTAGATTTGGTCTTACCACTGAATGCTAACTGTGGAAAAAGGCAAATGTTCCATTTGCTTCTGTGCTTCTTTTGCTCTCAGAACCTCAGTGGTGTTTTAAGGGTCATTAACTTCTGACCATTCTATTCAGAACAAATGAATGAACCACCACCACATGCAAGGACAGGCAAATTAAATAGGGTTTCTTTTCCCTCCAACCTTTTTGTCCCCCCCCCCCGTTCTCTTGCAGTGCTGAAGGAAGCCACACCTCCGGTCAGAGTAATGGCAGAGATCATCAAGCACTTGCTAAAGCAGTTCAAGTCCATCAGGACACGTTGCGCACTATGTACTTTGCTTGACATGTTTTAATGTTTAGCAACTCAGTACAGTACAGAGTTGGATTCACATGAGACCAGCTGCACTTAGACCAACAGTTGCCCAAGCTACAGTGACAGCCAGCAATGAGTGATGCATCTGAATTCTTTTCCTTTCCCATTTACAAGCAAGTCTTCCGTCCAGAATTTCAGACTCGATTATGAACTGCGTTCTTGTACCAAACCCCACTATTGTTAGAAATGTGGTTTGCCAAAAGTCTCTAAGCTGCTTGCTATAAAACAGACCCTTATTTTATAATTGAATCAAGAGCTGTGATCTCAGGGCTTAGGGAAAAAACAAAAAACCAACCCCCAAACCTCCTCATTCAGTTTGCTATTCATTGAATCGCTTTAACTAATTTGGAAAGATCTAATTCATACTCGAGTTTGGGCTAAAATACCAGGAATTAGCTTTTAATACAAAGGAAAGCAAAGCATTATTATTTTTTTTTTTTTTTTGGACTCTTGATGAAGCCTTGATTATTCTGGATGCATTTCCAAAATTGTTATTTTTCAAAAGAAAAGAGTGACAAAATCCTGGTTTTCACTGTCTTACAAAGATCCTGCTCTGTGTGTCTAAGGGCAAATGTATTTTCTGAAGCTTGTTCTTGAATGTTTTTTATTGTGCTGCATTTGAAAATGTTTTTCATAGACTTAAAGAAGAATTTTAAAGCAAAGACTGAACTCGTACCTAAGCTTTTCATAGGTCCACTTGGATTGGCAAAAGACAATGTGCCATTGAAAACCTGATTTGTAAGGAGTTTTTTAGAATCACACTGACAGCTAACGTTAGGGTTTGTCATCCAGGACTGTGACACTTACCTTTCCAAAGTCTCTAAAGAATACGGGTCTGTGGTGAGAAATACAGTACAATCCTTTTTCACTGTTGTTTGAGTTAATGTAAATTTTATATATGTTTCACAGTATTAATGTGATAGACTAGATGCTATTATTTATTTTTATTTACTAAGGAGTGCTCATTATACTTCTGTTATCAAGAATGCTTTGGATTTGGAAATGAAAATGTTATCGTGGGGACATTACTCTTCAAGTGCAAAAATATGCAATCGACTTTGGGAGGGTTCAGAGATCCAGGCAGTGTATATTGTGTAGCTTGTAACTTGTAGAAAGGCTTTTTAAGCGTGCACGCGACACAGCAGGTTGTACCTGTGCAGTTCAGAGACGCACACGAGACCAACATTCTACATTCATTCAAGCACAAACCAATTGTATGTTATTTATATGTTGAGTATTGGTGAAGCAGGAGCTCTGGTAGAGGAGAGTGGCTCACTGTGATTGAGACAGAAGTCAGTATCTATGCAGTAAAGAGAAATCTTAGGAAACTGAAGTTTACTTATGAAGGGAGGTGAAACTCTCTTTGTTATGCATAAGGTCAATAGTAAATGTGAGAGTTTTGGCATTCTCTTAGGAGAAGCATTAGTTAAAACTGATCATTGTTAGACAAACGCTTCTGTTAGTTTGCACACTGGATTCATAACAAACCATAATACATATGTAAACCATTGCACTAATGATGATGCCACAAGCAGAAAACAGAAGAAGCCCAAGGAACTTGTTTATGCTGACTTGATTTTGTTTATTTTCTTAGATAACTGAAGTAACGTGCTATGAGGCAGGTTTTACACGTCATTCTCTTCCACTGATCCATTTTGCTTCACCTTTTCCCTTCTCTCTCAGCAGATGCTCAGTCACTGTTTTGAATACATTTACCTCTAGCCACTCAAACGGGCGAGTAGCTTTAACCAGTACAGAGGTCTGTGCCATACAGCAGATAAACTCTAACCAGTTGCTGTTGAATAAGCTAGAAAATGCCCGACCTTTGCTGCATAAAGAGTTTTAGGTACATAACTTTGTGCAAGGTCAGATCTTCACCTTCTGTGTTGGTTGTCAGTGTTGTTTAGGTGAAATAACACTGTAAAACCTATTAATAGGTTCATTGTATTATTCTAACTTGGTGATTAGGCTGCTGGTTCAGATTTTCTTCTTGGTCATAGTTATGTAAATCCAGGTTTTAAATGTAAATCCAGAGTTTAAATGCTGGTATAACAGAAAGCAAATTCCAGGTCACATTGTCTGTCTTTCTGTGTTCCAGCCTTTCCATGGTGGATGTGTTGTACTTCTCTGTGCGCTTGCTTGAGAGGTTTCATACTTCAGTGAAGATTTTAATTTGGCAGAGTTTTATATAAGAATTATTTTTTTATATGAATTATTCTTAACAAATAGGAAAAAATTCAACCCTTTTAAGACTCCATTTAGTTTATTTGATGTTTGTTATGCAGAGACCTCTTGGATGTGAAATTCCTTCTCCTCTGCCCTCTCTGTGCAGATCTGGAGTAGTAAATGACTTACGCAGGTGGTCAGACGGGGTGAGGAGGGCAGAATCTGTCTTGACCTCAAATCTTATCTCTCAAGCAGACTGTGGAGTTCACTGCATCCTGTTCAGGATGCAGTCTTTGGGCTGGAATACTTGTTGCAGCTCCTTGTTGTGAGAAAAGAAGTATTAGGCAGACACTTAATCTGAGAGTAGCCATTGTCTGTGTATGCTCTTGGAAACAAGGAATTTTATGTAGCTTTCCTTCCCCGAGCATGAAGAACTTGGGATGGTTCTATGCATTTCAGGCTAAGCACATTTTTGACTTTTACAATTGTTTTAATCCTCTTAATACTGCTAATTCTTTATGGCTTGATTTCTCCCTCCTTTCCCCTCTCCTCCTTCCCCTGCAAGTGGTGAATTAGTGGATAATTTAAAGCCTTTCTAAAAACATACTGATAAAGTTTATGCTTTGAAAAATACAGTGTGCTCTAAGTCCAGCAGCTACCTTTTTGGGAATGCTTTTAGTATAAATTACATATTCAAAAGTGTCTCCTGCCAAAAACCCTACCAGAACACCTAAACCCATATTCTTAGGGTCTTTTTCTTTCTTACCTCCCATGTGTCTTGTAAGAACAGCAGTATCTCAGGTAAACACAAAGCTCAAGATGTCTCTATCTCACACACATTCCTGCTGTTGAAGTCGCAGCTGAGGTAATTATAACCACTAAGTCACTATGCAGCTCAGGTCAGCAATAACCAAATGTGCGTTACCCTCTGGCAGTTGGGGTTTTAATCATCCCTTGCATGACTTCCATTGTAAGAGAGTGCTGAGCAGGACCTCATTCCTTGCCTTCCTCCTGCTCTTTATGTTCCTGGCAATGACCTTGTCCTTGAATTCGGCCATTGGTGCAGGTTGTCCTGGTGCTTAGAAGTGACAAAACCACCTTATTTCCCATGCAGGCGTGAGCAGTGTGATGGATAAAGTGATCACTGCCAGCACCATGCCATTTCTTTTGTTTTAAAGGAGTGTGCTTGAGGGATGAACTGAGTGCCTGCTATGGGTTTAGTTTTCTCTGATCTTGGTTTTTATGGAAATGGTAACACTGTTGAAACAAAAAATATTCCAAGATTCCAAGTTGGCTGTGGAATTTCTGTCTTCAGAGATGCTCAGACTTGCCTGGATGGGTCCTGGCACAGTCTCAGTTCACTAGACCTGCTTTGGGCACGGGGCCATCTCCAAAGAGTCTTTCTGAAGCATGGGGTTGTGTGGCAACAGCAGCTCCTTTTTGGGAGGTGAAAAATAGTATCAACAAACAAAATATACTTTAAAAATGTCCCTTTTTATTATTATTTTTATCTTATGTACAAAACATTACACAATAATTGTTTGCTTGGGTTTGGAACTTTCTGCTCCTGTGGCTGAATAGAAGAATAAGGTATCCACTTCATCTCTTCTAGCACTGGGGAACAGCTGAGTTGATCCTTAGGAGGAAACGTCCTGTTGTGAAATGCTGAAAGTAGGTGGATTTGCCTTTGTGTTTGTATGAGTTTGGCATTCAAGATAGCCCTATGCAATCTTAACACTTCTAGTGTGTGTCTATGCACTGATGTATGGCGTGAGACCACCTGTTTTTGTTTGAGCTCCTCCTGGCTTGGTGTGGTTTAGACTGTTTCAGCAGTCATATTTGGCTTGCTGAATCACAATCAATGATATTCCATCTTTCCAAAGCTCTGGCACATGAACTTCCTCCTTTCTAGATCTGTTGGGTTTTGGGTGAGTTTGTTGTTTGCTGCAGTTGTTAGGGAAAGGTCTTAACCTGCTGGAGCCAGTGTGGAGAATTTACAGGCAGTTTATGCTTAAAACAAGAAATCCTAATAAATACTTCATCCAGGCCCCCAGGCAATGTGTCCTGATTGTAAAAGCAAAAAGGTTGTGAAGGTTTAACTTCAGTTCTGACTCTGTCAGTAACTCCCATGGCCCTTGTCCGTTTTTAACTTGTTCACATCTTAGGGGATCACTTTTACAAGTAAGACAAAGAGATCCTATTTCCAAAAGGATTTTTCCATTTCAGCTCCTGAAGGGTAGGTTCTTGTGTGCCCACTTGCCTTCTGAAAAGACTGAAGTTTCTAATTGAGTTAAGAGGCTTCTGAAGCTTTTACCTCAAGTCAGATGTACATGCACAAAGGCTTTTGTTCAGCAGAAGATCAGGAGGCCTTTGCACCTTGTTGCCAGTGCTGCTGTCCTTACTGCAGCAGTAGGTTCCTCAAATACAGTGGTCATCTGCATCTCCCCTGTAGAACCCCCAACATTTCTTATGCCAGTGAATCGCTGGAATTTAACTGAGAGCAAGGGCAGGAGGAAGGTCTGTGTTAACATCCCCCAGCCAAATAGAATGGATTGTTGTAGGGTTTTCTTACTGTACCTGTTTCTTTTTGAGGAAGAATGTTGGTATTTGAAGTGAGAACAGGTTGTTTCATGCTTATTCAAGACCACAAGTACTAGAAATGCAGCACTGGGACCTTTAGAGATTGAGATGGACACACTTGCCTCTGGATGTAACTAAGTTGAGCATCTGGTGGCATACATGGCCCAAAGGGACTTCTTTCTTTTTGAAGAGCTCTTTTACACATTAACTAAAGGAATGTAAGGAAAGTTCTCATTAGTATTTTTCACACTTGATACCAATGTAAGAAAATCGCATTCTTTTCCTAGTTGTTTAATACTTTTCTCCTACAGTAGCATCTCTTCTTATGTATTGATCCTGCCAATGTGGCTTTCTCAGTTTCTAATGCAGGGCAGTACATTGTTTCATTACTTTTCTATTACATTTGATAACATGCTTCTTGATGCATACATGCAGTCTTTTCTAAGGAAAACTTCAAGTAAAAGGTAATTGCACTGATTATTTTGTTTTTAAACTCCCTTTTTACTGTAAGACTTCTTTTTTGCATCTGCTGTAGCTGTTTGACATACTGTAAATAATGCTATGTATAGCAAATACTGAAATGCTGTGGATACCATTCCTTGTTGTTCTTGCTTCTTGGAATGCTGCCATATTTTCCAGTATTGAGATATGAGCTTTGGGTTTTAAATGTTGTTA